AATTATGTCGTAGGTTTCTAATTGTGAGAGTTAGGTCCCTTCACTAAAACATTAATATTTGTGTAAACCAGTGGTTGGCAAATTATGGCTCGCCAGCTACATGCGGCTCTTTGGCCCCTTGAGTGTGGCTCTTCCACAAAATACCATAGCCTGGGCAAGTCTATTTTGAAGACGTGGCATTAGAAGAAGTTTAAGTTTAAAAAATTTGGGTTCATAATGCTCATCAACTCTTGAAAATAAGTCAGTCATTTTTTCAAGTATCTTTTCTGATATCCTTCCTCAATTCTACCTTTATCCTCTCCTTCAAAGACTTCAATTACAAGTATATCAAACTGCTTGAAGTTGTCCCATAATGCATTGATTCTATAATTAAATTTTTCCATCTCTATAGTTCTTTTTAAAAATATATATTTTGTTGATTTCAGAGAGGAAGGAAGAGGGAAAGATAGAAACATCTATCTGCCTCCTGTGCGACCCTTACTGGGGATTGAGCCCACAACCTAGAAATGTGTCCTTGACCGGAATCGAACGCAGGATCCTTCACTCCGCAGGCCAGTGCTCTATTCACTGAGCCAGACCAGCTAGGGCTATAGCTCATTTTTAAAAGTGCCTATTGTGTGTCTTCAAATTCCCTAATCTTTTCTTCTACGATGTCTACTCTTCCCATCCAGTGGATTTTTCACCTAAGAGATTGTTGTTTTCATCTCTAGAAGTTGGATTTAGAAAATTCTTATACCTTCCTTGTCCTTACTTAATTTTTTAAAAAATATATTTTATTGATTTTTTTACAGAGCGGAAGGGAGAGGGATAGAGAGCTAGAAACGTCGATGAGAGAGAAACATCGACCAGCTGCCTCTTGCACAACCCCCACCGGGGATGTGCCCACAACCAAGGTACATGCCCTTGACCAGAATCGAACCCGGGACCTTTCAGTCCGCAGACCGAAGCTCTACCACTGAGCCAAACCGGTTTCGGCTAATTTTTTTAATATATTACTATTATAACTGTTTCAGTATCCTGTCTTCTAATTCTAACATTTATGTCAGTTGAGTTAGTTTCAGTGATTGATTTTGTTTTCCATTGAGGGTGATCTTTTTCTGCTTCTTTCCATGCCTTATAAATATTCGATTGAATAGCAGATTTTGTGAATTTCATGTCATTGGATGCCGAATATTTTTGTATTCTTATAAAATATGGTTGAGTTTTAATTTTAGATACAGTACATTACTTTAAAAACAGTTTGATCCTTTTTGGAGCTTACTTGTATTTTTCTGATGAGCATCTAAGTAGAATTAGTTTAGAGCTAATTACTCTCATTACTAAGGTAAGACCATCCTGAGTATACCTCACTGAATGGGGAGACTTTCTAGTTGGCCTGGTGTGAACAGCCAGTATTCCTGGCCCTCTGTTCCTTCCAATGCATTCCAGTGGTTCATTTTTTTCTTTGACTTTGGATAGTTTCCTCAATCTCAAGGAGGATGCTCTGCAGATCTCTGGGATTTTCTGTGCTGTTGTCTACTCCGTACTGTTACCTAGAGCCATTTTAGCTCTGTCTCCTCAACTCAGGGAGTCTGCTGGCCTCTCCCACGGGCTCTCCTATGCCGTGGCCTGTAAGTTCTAATTCAATTCTAAGTGCTTTGTGATTCTTGTTTATCTTATTCTTAAGAATTTATTTGAAATTAGAAGGGAAACTCCTACAATCTTATTTTCATGAAAAAGAAAGACCAGTATTTTAATTATAGCAAGGGAGAGAGTTTTTAAAAAGCTGAAAAAAAAAATCACTCATGAATATATATATATATATATATATATATATATATATATATATATATATATGCATATATATCTAGCTGGCCACTTTGTACAAGTCCTCAGAGTACCTTTCCATTTACCAGATTTATGAATCATTCAATAAAGCCAATTAGATTTTTTTTAAATCCCCAGCCAAGGACATGCTTAGAGAGAGGAAGGGGGGGGTGGGGGAGAAGAGAAGGAGGGAAAGAGAGGAAGAGAGAGAGAGAAAAACATTGATGTGAGAGAGAAGCATTCATCGACTGCCTCCTACATGCAACCCAACCAGGAATAAAACCAACCCAGGCATGAGCCCTGACTGGGAATGGAACCCGCAACCCTTTGGCATATGGAATGACATTCCAAACACCTGAGCCACCTGGCCAGGGCTGAATATATTTTTGAATACTTACTATGAGTTTATCACTTGTTTGGGCAATGGGTGACAAAGAATGGGTTGATTACTTTTTATTTTTATGCATCTCCACGAATGTCAAATATTTAGCCTTCCAAACAAGTCTTATTTCATCCTAATTTGTTTTTCCCTTTTTTCGAATCAGTCACATCAAAGCTTTGGTTAGCATGAAGTAACTGGTGTTAGACAAAAACAGAGAATCTTACTGTTATAGGTGACTAATTGTTGTTGTTTAATTAGCAGTCTTGGAGTGGTCACCAACAGACTTTTTATTTTTAAAAGAGTATGTTTTCATTGATTTTAGAGAGAAAGGGTGAGAGAAAAATTGATGAGAGAAACATCAACCTTGATTGGCTATCTCCTGAATGCCCCATGCTGGGGACCAAGCCTGCAACTTAGGCATGTGCACTGACCGGGAATTGAACCAGTGACCTCCAGGTGCATGGGTTGACACTCAACCACTGAACAACACTGGCCAATATTTCTTTTAGGCTTTTTTGAGATATTAAAAGTAGCTTTTTCTTTCCTGATTGGCTGGGGCCTGGAACATCCAATAACTAGCTTACACTTTATTTTTGAAGATAACTATTATAAATAACAGAATGCAAAACAAGGTCATCGTGTTTTAAGTGCCCCGTTGACTCTAAGTATTATAGCATTGTATTGCATAGAGGTCCCTGAGCTGAGCTGTTGTAGTCTGGACAGGTCAAGAGGACCGAGAAGAGGTATTCTGAGCTGGGAAGCAGTGGGTGTAAATGTTCAGTGGTAGGAAAATGGGCTGTATGTTGTGGTTACTGTCCAGTGAGGAGACAGTCTGTTGCCCAGTTGTGTACACAGAGAAAGTTGGAGATCAGGTGGGAAAAGTAGGTGAGGGTCATAGCTGAGACCCTGAGTTCTTTGTATTGGTGCATAGATGGCAATGAAAATTAGAAGGGTCATTGAAAAGGCTGTAATAGAGAAAGCTGCCGAAACCAGTTTGGCTCAGTGGATACAGTGTCGGCCTGCAGACTCAAGGGTCCCAGGTTTGATTCCAGTCAAGGGGCATGTACCTTGGTTGCGGGCACATCCACAGTGGGCAGCTGATCGATGTTTCTCTCTCACCGATGTTTCTACCCCGTTTCCCCGAAAATAAGACAGTGTCTTATATTAATTTTTGCTCCCAAAGATGTGCTAGGTCTTATTTTCAGGGGATGTCTTATTTTTCCATGAAGAAGACGGTACACATTTATTGTTAAATGTAAATAAAGTATACGGTATACGGTACGGTAGTACTGTAGTTGTCAACACAAACCAGACAAACTGTGAATCCTTCAGTATCAAAAATTTACTCACTTATTCAATGACAATCATGTCATCATCTTCTGGAACATCATCATAACAATCCAGTTCCTGAATTTCCTGGTAATTTCTTGTGACTCCATTTCTTTCAGAATCAATGGACCAAATCTCTCATGTTTAGCAATAGCATTCTGAGAGAGCCTAGGGCAGGGGGCCTTATTTTCAGGGGGATGCCTTATATTTCACTCAGAAGGAAACCTGTAAGTAGGTCTTGTTTTCGGAGGATGTCTTATTTTCGGGGAAACACGGTAGCTCTCTATCCCTCTCCCTTTCTCTCTGTGAAAAATCAATAAAACATTTTTTTTTTTTTAAAGAGAAAGCCAAGGACCTGGTGACTAAATGTGAGGATAGAGAGGGAAGAAGAGCAAGAGTGTTGAGCTAGGACAAAAGTGATATTAAAAATATTGTAGAAAAGTCAGTAAGGAGAACCTGAATGAAGTGATGCCAGTGATCACCTATGCTTTTTCTAAAAATTCCCAGTTTCTCTGTGCGGCTCCTTAACTGGGCAGGTGTTTCCCTACAGTCCTTTGCGTCTGGCAGAATGAAATGGAGTGTGGAAGGGCATTTAGAGTTCTTGAGGTCACCTGGCCTAATCTCTTCATTCTACAGATAAGGAAATTGAGGGCTTCAGATATTGTGGCTTCCCTTAAGGTCACACAGATAAGCTGGCACAGTTATCTGAAGTTTCTGTAGCAAAGGTTGTTGTGTCTTAATCCTCCTGCCTGTTGGCAAAATGACCCTTGTGTTTCCCCATAGTAACTAAATTAGCATTGACTTGATTCCTCAAATAGTTTTGCACCTTCCCAAATCAAATACCTTAATGGTTCAAATAATTCTTTCTGAGTGGCCTGATTACCACCCCCTCCCCCCTTTACCCATACGTGCAGCTGCAAACCTTTTAGTAACACTCGTGGGCATTAGTGCCAAACTTGGCCTGGGTGGAATGGTGTGACTCATCGCGCCCCCCCCCCTCCCCGAGAGGAGCCTAGCCAGGGCCTTGAATACCTGAACTCTGTTTTGGGAAGATGTTGAAACCAGCCCTACCCCTTATTAGCTGGAACCTAGGGAGTGCCTTCATTTTCCCTTCAAAGCCTCTTTCCTCGTCTTGCCACCTTGGCTCTTCTCCTTTTCCCGCTTTCCTCTGCCAGGGTCCTGCCCTTTCTCCCTCGGGATCACGCTCCCACGGGCCCTTCCCACTTTATGTATTTAGGGACTTCCTTGCACACCTTGATCTCTCCTTCCTTTAGGGTTCCCGGGCCCCTAGCGTGCCAGGGGCGGAGCTGGGTGCACAGAAGCCCCGCCCCTTGGCTTTGGGCGGGGCCCACGGCGAAATGGCGCCAATGATTGGTGGGGCGGGGCCTGCACCGTGGGTGGGCCCTTCCCAGGGGGCGGGGCGCACTGGCGGGTGCGCTGGGGGCGGGGCCTGGTGCCGGGGGAGGGGCCTGGGTCCGGGGGCGGGGCTCGGAGCCGAGGGCGGGGCCTGGAGCCCGGCGCGGGGTGGCGCAGCTGTGGCGGCACTTCCCGCTGGCCACGCGCCGGGTGCGGGTCCCAGAGGTAAGCGTGGGGAGGGGGCCCGGTGGCTCGCGTGCAGCTGGAGGGACTCCGCGGGCGCGCACCACGCAGGTGTTGTGCCGCCGGCCCGGCCCGGTGCCACTTCGGCGCCGCGGAGCGCGAGCGGGACGTTGGGGGGCGGCCCCTGGCTCGAGTCCCCTGTGGGCGGGTTACCCGGGGTCGGGCTGGAGCTTTGCAGCACTTGTTCGCGGCTTTAGGTCCGGGATAGGAAACTCTTGGTGTTGCACCGCACACCCTCTCTCCAAATCTGGAGAGACCTCATGGATTGTAGGAATTCTATACTTAAAATACATTTCTAGTTTGCTGTTCAGGACCGTGGGAGAAACTCTATAATGAATGAACTTGCAGCGCGTCTTTACGTTGACTTCGTGATGTTCAGTTTGCAGAAAGAGTGAGGCCAAGAATGGGACTCTTATTTAAGCGAGGACACCAGGATTTCCATAGGCATTAAGCGGGCAGGTTTTGAAGCTGGAGTGCCTAGGTTTGAATCTACTGATTCATTGTGGAAACTGGGGGCAGTTTGCCTCAATCCTCTATGCCTTTGGGAAATGGGGGTAATAATAGTGCCACCCTTCTAGGATTGTTAAGGAGATTAAGTGAGTGAATACTTAGTGCCTGCAATGGTGCAAAATGACATTGGCTATTTTCTTTACTATGCATTCACACGGGCATTAACCTTCAAAGTTGTCCCCACCGTTTTCCGCAGAAATGTTGCTATAAATGCTCGGGGATTCGTTTGGAACAGTTTTCAAAGACCGACTCCCACCAGAAAAGAACTCATGGCTATTGTCTCATACTAATGATGTGCTCATCCACCTTGTTCCAAACCAAACTCTGTGGTACAGAACTCTGAGTCTTGCAGGTTGTTCTAAAAAAAAAAAAGAGGGTGAAAACAGGCAGCACTTGAGTGAGTGTAGCCTCATTTTAAGCACCAAGCTCTGGTAGGTTTGTCTAAAAGGAAAACTCATGTTACTTTATATTTTTAATCCTCACCCGAGGATATTTTTCCATTGATTTAAAAATATATATTTTGTTGATTTTTTTACAGAGAGGAAGAGAGAGGGATAGAGAGTTAGAAACATAGATCAGCAAGCTGCCTCCTGCACACCTCCTACTGGGGATGTGCACAACCAACGTACATGCCCTTGACCGGAATGGAACCTGGAACCTTTCAGAGGGAAGGGCGAGCTCTATCCTGAGCCAAACCGGTTAGGGCCCATTGATAAATATACATATATATATATATATATATATATATATATATATATATATATATATATAATTTTTAAAATATGTTTTATTGATTTTTTTACAGAGAGGAAGAGAGAGGGATAGACAGAAACATCGATGAGAGAGAAACATTGGTCACACCCCCCACCAGGGATGAGCACGCAGCCACAGTACATGCCCTTGACCAGAATCGAACCTGGGACCTTGCAGTCTGCAGGCCGACACTCTATCCACTGAGCCAAACCGGTTTCGGCTATTTTTTTTTTTTTTTTTGAGAGAGGGTCAGATAGAAATATTGCGTTAATTGGTTGCCTCCTGCAAGCGCCCTGAACGTGCCCTTGAACTGAATCGAACCTGGTACCCTTTCCTGAGCAGGCCAGCACTGAGCCAAACTGGCTAGGGCAACAGTTCATACTACTTTATATAGAACTTATAAGTTGGGCTATTTTGGGTGGGTGCTTATTTGTACCGTTATTGTAAAATGAGGTAAACCAGAGTAGCCAAATGCCTAAGTAAACGAACCATCATAGAAATCTTTTAACTTGCCACATAGAATCTCAGGGATTCTGAAAAATCTGACCAGCTGCCCTTGACTGGTAAGGAAGGATGAGGCCCAAAGACCCCGAACCAATAAATGGCAGAGCTTAGACTAGAATTCAGCTCTGCTGAGCAACAAATCATAAAATCAAAAGTACAATATTACTTCTGGTTTTGATGAGAATACTATTTTTATTTTTGACATCTTTATGGTGCTGGGAATGTTTCTTCCCCTCTCAGCAACATCCTGCTTGGTAGCTTAATTGCATGATTCACAATCGTTCTTCAGCATCTTTGATTTAAATCACAAGTCTCAAAGTTGCTACATCAATGATTGCTTTGAGAGCAAGATGATTGTCTTCCTAAACTTTGCACAAACATGTTCTAATAGAGCTTTGGTTTTGTTGTTTTAAAATGCAGTCCTTTCTCTTATGTGGGGGAATTTAAACAACTAGTATAAACAAACTGACCTGGTAGGCAGTTTGTTATCACTGTGTCATTGATGAAGTTTTCTTGATTGGGTAGGATAGGGTCAGGAAGTGGGATGTTGATGTTGCTGCCAACTTCAAAAGCATCAAAGGTGGAATGAAATTACATGGAGATACTGGTGTGTTAGTTGCTGACCCTTTGCCCGTTCCTTGCATAGTTTGCTCCCTCACCTCTAGGTGTTTGTTTAGATATTACTATCTCAAGTAGAGCCTCCTATTTATAATTCCATGCAACCCCACTCTTTCTGTAATATATGCTTATCTGTTGATGTACTTGTTTATTATCTACTAGAGGCCCGGTGCACGAAATTCATGTAGGAGTGTGTGTGTGTGTGTCCCTCAGCCCAGCCTGCACCCTCTCCAATCTGGGACCCCAAGAGGGATGTCCGACTGCCTGTTTAGGGTGGGATTGGGCCTAAATGGGCATTCAGACATCCCTTTCACGATCCAGCACTGCTGGCTCCCAACTGCTCTCCTGCCTGCCTGCCTGATTGCCCCTAACTGCTTCTGCCTGCCAGACTGATCACCCCCTAACCTAGGGGTGTCAAACTCAATCAGAGAAGGGGCCAAAATCTAAAATCCAGCCTAAATCGTGGGCCGAATGGTTTACTGAACAGTCATAAACTGTCATTGTGATGGAAACGCAGCGGAGTGCAGTGATGACAGCGCGGTGCGGGCCACATTGCAAGGCCTGGCGGGACGGATTTGGCCCGCGGGCCTTGTGTTTGACACATGTGCCCTAACTGCTCTCCTGCCAGCCTGATTGATGCCTAATGGCTCCCCTGCTGGCCCGATTGCCCCTAATTGTCCTCCCCTGCCAGCCTGCTTACTCCTAGCTGTCTTCCCCTTCAGGCCTGGTTGCCCTCCCCTGCTGGCCAGGTCACTCCTAACTGCCTTCTCCTGTCAGCCTGGTTGTCCCCAACTGCCCTCCCCTGCTGGCCCAGTCACCCCTAACTGCCCTCTCTTGCCAGCCTGGTTGCCCCTAACTGCCCTCCCCTGCAGGTGTGATCACCCCAACTGCCCTCCTCTGTAGGCCTGGTGCCCCTAAACTGTTCTCCCCTGTAGGCCTGGTCCCTCCCAACCACAACTGCATCTTGTGGTGGCTGTCTAGTGTCCACCTGGGGGCAGCCATCTTTGACCACATGGGGTGGCCATCTTGTGTTGGAATGACAGTCAATTTGCATATTTCATCTTTAATATATAGGATTGTCTGCCATTAGAGGGCAAGTTCCATGAGGGCACAGGCGATTACCAGTTGTGCTGACTGCTGTGTGCTAAGTGCCTAGAAACAGTATCTGCCACCAGAAGGCATCCCATGCGTGGACCTGATGCAGACATTTCCAGCGAGGGCTAGTAATTACTTAAGCCAATTCCCTGTCATTTTCCCCGCGCTCTCCTTGCCCAGGTCTAGTTATTTCTCCTGGTTATCCAGGAATAAAACCATAAGACCTGGAGGCAATGTTAATCCTTCTTTCTATAATACCTTGTCCTCCACATGAAATAGCTTCTGACTTATTTTTCCTTTGTGTGATTAAAAAAAAAAAAAAAATCTGCAGCCCCTATTGATGCGAGGTTTATTTCTCTACTTCTGCAACCCCTTACCTGAGTTCCGTTTTCAAATGTCTTCACATCCTTCACATCATCAGAACAAAAAGCCTGTCATTCGGAGTTCTTTACAACATGACCTCAAATCTATGTTTCTCTTTCAGTTTTTATTGATGAGCTGGTCATTTCCCCCAAGTGGGCAGGAATTCAGACAAACTGGGCAAACGGCTATTCCCTATTTATAAAGGACTGTGCCACCCTTTCTGTTTTGTGTGCCCAGCCTTCAAAACCTCCCTCGCACCAAAACTGGTTTGGCTCAGTGGATAGAGTGTCTGCAGACTGAAAGGTTCCAGGGTCGATTCCGGTCAAGGGCATGTACCTTGGTTGTGGGCACATCCCCAGTATTGGGGTGTACAAGAGGCAGCTGATCAATGATTCTCTCTCATTGATGTTTCTAACTCTCTATCCCTCTCTCTTCCTCTCTGTTAAAAATCAATAAAATATATTTAAAATAAATAAATAAATAAACAAATAAATAAATAAATAAAAATGAAATAAAATAAAACCTCCCTTGCATGCCGCCACCATTTCAGATACCTAGATAGAAGTTCCATTGGAAGTGGCTTTTTCTTCCTCTCAATTCTAGTGACTTTCCACCGCTTTCTAGTTCGAATTGTAATTCCTGGGGCATTTGTCTTCCATTTTTGCTACAGATAATCTCCTGGAGGACAAAAAGCATGTCTACACAAATTCCAGTTACTTTTTTAAGGAAAAATAAGACACAGCTCCACCCCACTTCACTGTTTTTTAAACGCACATGAACTTAAGGTTCTGTTTGATAGGCCTTTAAGTCATTGAGCTTCTATAATCATTCCTATAAAGTGGAGAGTGAAGGAAGAAAACGGGGAAATGCAGTACTCCATAAAAAGATGCAAATAAAGACATTGAGATCTGGTTTCACAGAAGGGAGTAGGTGTAGGGAAAGCAATATACTCGGCACCCATATAGATGAACAGGCAGACGTTAAAAAACAGACACCGTCAGCTCACTCGGGAAGCCATTAGGACAAGACAGACTGCGTGGAGCAACGCTTGTGACTTTGGATTTTCAGCTGCGGTTTTATTCCCAAGCTTTATTTTGTTTTTGCATCTCGACACAAAGAATCCTGCTTTCCTGCTTTGT